ATTCTGTGTGTGGTTGTACATGTGTGTAGAGGAGCAGTTGGTGTGTGGTCCTCACTTATACGCCAGCAGGTGGTTTGAATTCTGTGTGTGTGTGTGTGTGTGTGTGCATGTGTGTATAGTAGAAGTTGGTGTGTGGTCCTCACTCATACTCCAGTCCGTGGTTTGAATTCTGTATGTGTGTTACATGTGTGTGGAGGAGCAGTTGGTGTGTGGTCCTTACACTCCAGCAAGTGGTTCTGAGATAGGATCTCTCATCTGTGGTTTTCATGATTTTTTTGGAGCCCTTGTAGGAGAAATTTAGAAGTAATTTTCCTTGTAAAAATTAACATAAATCTGACAGATGTGGTTGCACAGATCTTTAATCCCAGCAGAGGCAGGTGGATTTCTGTGAGTCTGAGGCCAGCCTGGTCTAAAGAGTGAGTTCCAGGACAGCTAGGGACAAAACAGGGACAAGAAACCCTGTCTTGAAAAACAAACAAAAGAAACAAAAAAAGAATGAAAACAAAACATAAAATTTAGCTGTATAACATGCTCTGTGCAGTGTCGATAGGGCTTACATGAAATTTAAGCAAGTACAAGTTCCTTATCATGGAACTTTGCCAACACTATCTTAAATGAAAGTCAAGCTTTCTGTAAATGTGAGAGTTCGGAGAGTCCTTGGTCAGTATTCCTTGTAATTCTGGTAAGGCAAAGTGAGGTTAGGCAGCTGTAGCTTACAGCATTACTAAGCCTATTTGGACCTGAAATCACAGAAGTAAGTGTCTTTGGAACTTGGCATTCATGGGGCACAGCTTGGGAGTGGTGGGCTGAAGTTGGTTTACAGATTAAAAAGAAAAGAGGCACAATGATTTAAGTGACTCAGCTGAGTATGTAGAGCCAGTGAGATCCCAAACTACTGAACTCATAGCTGACTGAAGTGGAACAAAGCAACCAGCTTCACTGATGGAGAGGAAACATTTTTGAAATCTTTTTCATGTCCTAGGAATAGTATGTATGTGTCTTGTGATTTATTAATCTGTTTTTACTGCTTTAAGGTTGAAAACTTACACATTTCATATTTTGGCAGTCTAACCATGATGAGCATTTCAAATTTCTTATTTTGAAAACTTGTCATCACTAATGTTAACTGTGCTTGTTACAAATACACATGCTAGGGTGTGTGTGTAAGTTGTTGGGCCTCAAGAAGATATTAGCTTCCTTAGACAGCCTTTACATAGTTCTTGTTTGTTATTTAAACTGACTGCTATCTTGGTTGACGCATCAATTGCTACTACACTTGGGTGGGGTTGCTTACAAATTGCCAAAATATGCATATTGCATAGTTTATATGCACATATAGGAATAAAGAATAGAAACCTTATAATATCAAAGTTCTGTCCTAAAAATAAACATTTGCTGTTCCCTGTTGCTCTCCGTTATTAAATTGATCTAGTATCTCAACTGGCACTTTCTGCTTTGGGGAAGAGGTGTATTTATTTTTTTAGTCTGAGCTATTGCAAAAGACATTAAGACCCTAAAATCTTCATTACTATAAAAAAATTGTGCCATACTAGCATTATGAAAACAGCGTTTTGGTATGCCATGTACTTTCAGAAAAGTTCTAGCAATAGAATTATTTGTTATTAAAGAAATTCATAGTCTCTGTATTTTAATGAATCTTGCAATCTGGAGCCTAGATTATGCTGGTAGCTTTGACACGCCCAGTGCTATGTTAGGATTATATTTTATAGTTCGGGGAGGGTGTAGCTGATACTTTAAAAAAAAAACTGTATCAAGGGAAGTTTCTTTTAGAAAACTAAACATTGAATGGTGCTAACCATATATGAAGGAGTCCTCTGTCTTTATCCCTTACACTCATTGGTTTAATATGAAGTTTGTTTTATTCAATTCTATTACTTACCCCTACAGCTTTTTCCAATGATGTAGAAGGAAATCTCAGATATATAATTTGACTGATATTTCAGTCCCTTTCTCTCTCAGTTTTGGGGCTCAAACCCAAGACCTCCTCCAGGATGACCTAGCATTCTTACTAACTCCCTAGCTCTTACAGAGAGAATAGAAATGATTTGTATTCCCTGTGATAATAGGGAGGTAGGAGAAAGAGAGATAGGACAAAAATGAAAGAAGGAATATGGGATGAAGAGAGATGATAGAGTATGCAAGACAGCAGAAGTGCCAAAATGTGGGGATGCCACTCTCTCCGCTGGGTCGTGAATTGTGCATTTCCACCTTTTCTTGGCATTAACCAAACCTTGGTCTACATTTAGGATCAGAAAGATTGTTGATTCCTTTCTTAACGGTTGTTTTTGTTTGTTTGTTTTATGTTCGGAGGTTGTGAGATAAAACTTAAAAATGAAACCATTTTAGGACTAATTATCCTGTATTTGCTTTCACACAAATATTTAGGGTTGTTTATGGAAACTAATTCAAATAGTTGAGTACTTTCTATGGGCTGAGTTGAACTATCTGTGCTCTGGATGGGTTATACATTATGGAAAATATTATCTTTGTACAGACTTTGGCTTCAAATGCTCTTACTGGAAAATTGTATGATGTTTTTTCTTTGTGTGTTCTTTCTTATTGCCCCTTTCCTGGATGAAATTGATCCTGTTCAAACTGGACTCTGCAGTTCACGAGATTCCTTGTCGACTCACCATTGGAGGTAAGAGACTGCTCTCAGATCTTCACGTTAGCATCGTCAGTAGAGTAGCTCTGCTTGGTCTTCCATCAGGTATTTATTTGGTAATTTAGGAATGATAGTTCTAAAGCAATACATTTTTTCAGTAATAGTAATGGGATGAACATAGCCATTTTTTTGGTAAGCGCTATTCACCTTTGTAACTAGTCCCTTCAAGTACATTTTCTTTCTCAGTAAATAGAGAGGATTCAGCCCCTAGATTCTATTTCTATGATTCCTGTGTTGCTTCATCCCTGCTTAAATGACTATCATGCTTCAGCAGAGGTGGGTATGCAAAAGCTGTCATCAAGGAGGCTTCACCTGGATAAGAGACCAGAGGAGTAGAGGACCCTGCCTGGCACTGAGCACTCATTTTGATACTAGCATTGTTCTTAGTGCTTGCTTTCTTTCTCATTTAGTCTTCATCCTGGTTCTCATTTGGAACTCAGACAGGGATAAATTGTGAGATTCAAAAAAAAGTTACTAGATATTCAGAGAACCAGAATCATGTGAGCTGTGGTTGCAAAAAAGCTTGTAGATGAGTGTGGAGACTTAGAGAAGTCAGAACAAAAACAGCAGAGTGCTGAGCTGAGGCTGGCCTTGAAGCCAAGCCAGTGTTTAATATGTATCTTTACTTACTTGCCACACTCTGATACTAACAATCAGCTTTCCCAAGCCATCCTTTCACATAAGGCAGCAGATTTCTGAAGAGAATTGTGCTGCTCAAATCCTATAATAATTTTTAATCTCCTTTTAAGCTAGACTTCCCTTTTTGCGCCAATCTTAGTATTTTTTTTTTCATTTTGGTCTTACGCTTGTCTTTCTCTTTGCTTCTGTTGTTTGTTTCACTTTAAGAGCCCCCTTTCTCAGTTCCCAGTCTCAGATCATACTCTTTTTCAGAGTTGAACTACTGCCTTATTTATTTGTTTGTTTTTTGTTTTTCTAGACAGAGTTTCTCTGTGTAACAACTCTGGCTGTCATGGAACTCCCATTGTAGATTAGTCCAGGCTGGCCTCGAACTCACAGAGCTCCACCTGCCTCTGCCTCCTGAGTGCTGCTGGTATTAAAGGTGTGTGCCACCAGCCTGCCATAGCCTTATATTCTTTATGATATCATCTCTGATCTCCTTATACACTGAGAGTTGTTCTTTTTTTAATGGTTTTATAATGATGATTTCATTTAATTATTGAAACCATTCTTCTTAACGATGAGTGATGGCCTATGACTAGTTTGAATCATCACTAGGAAAAATGAACCAGACCAGAGAAGCCTGTACTAACCTGGTTTGGCCACATTTTCTAAACGTTCAGTCTTAAAATCAAGACAAAATATGACAGTGGAAGGATGCTGTGCTGTGAGTGAGAGGGACATGGGTGGCCCATGGGTAAGTCATTTAATTCTTCTGGGCTGCAATTGTCAAATCTGAAAATGGAGATTGCACTTACAAGGTTATTAAATGAAGTGATTTGTGGCCAACACTGAGCATAGTACAGGAAATTTTAAATAATAAAGTAGAAATCAAAAAACAATAAGAAACTTAGAGACTATTCATTTTTTTATCTGCTGAAGTTGAGGAAATACTTTTTGATCATAGAAATGAGAAGTATGAGCCAGAAAAGGCAAGAAAATTTTGTTAGGCTATGTAAAGAGGCATAGTTTTGTACATGAAAACAAACATAGTTAAAGGTAATTCAGAGCGTAGAGAGATGGCTCACTTGCTGCTCTTACAGAGAACCTGGGTTTGTTTCCTAGCATTTGCACGGTGCTCCCAAACCTGTAACTCCAGTTCCAGGGTATCAAATATCCTTTTCTGTCCTCTTTGGGCCACAGGCATGCATAAAGTACACAGACATACATGCACACAAAACACTTGTACACATAAAAATGAATAAATCTTTGAAAATTAAGGCAGTTTGGAGAAAGTAAAATATTTATTTAAGATTTTAAATATTTTTGAATAGATAAACTATCTTTTCCAATTGTTTTGCACATAATTGTGTTAAATGCTGTAAGTAGTTGATAAAATAAGTGATACATGGTAATATAATTAGTAATGTTAGAAATGCAGCTTAAAGCAGTAACGTTAGGTAGAGCTGCTTCCATGTAGAGGGTGTTAGTAAGGAGGATAGAGTTAGAGGTCCACATCACTAACCAAGTAGCATTTAGATCAGTGGTTCTCAACCTTCCTAATGCTGTGACCTTTTCATATAGTTCCTCACATTGTAGAGATCTCCAACCATAAAATTATTTCATTGATACTTTGTATTGGCTACTGTTATGAATTGTAAATATTTGATATATAGGATATCTGATATGCGACCCCTGTGAAAGGGACCATCAGCCCTCAAAGGGATAATGACCCATATGTTGAAAATCACTGATTTACGAGTAAGTTTCTATTAAATGTAAGTTCAGTGAGAAGAGTACCCATGTTCCTATTTTTAATGCAGTAAGTTGTACATACATAGTAGGCACAACTTTAATATTTTTTGGGGTAGATGGGCTGGTGGGTGAATGGATGGAGAGATTACTGAATAAACTTGGTGGGGCTGAGGTTAGGTGTAGAGGTCTTTTATTCATAATTTGACAGGGCTCAAGCGACAGCAAACAAAGTTTTCTGTTTGTGTTTTAATGTGCTCAACAGTCTTCCTTGCTTGAATGAACCTACTTAAGATTGAAAGCTTTGTTTTTGCACCTTTGAAAGCTATCAGTTGTAGAAATGACTTAGAGTTTACTAAGTACTCTGGTTAAATATTGAGGCTGAGTGTGTGGAATCTGTCATCTTTGGTGAAAAGTATAAAGGAAGAATATCATGATCAAAGCTGAGTGATTGTCATTTTCTGTTAGTTTTTTTCACTTAGTGATTTGAAATTGTGTTGCATCCTGGCCAACTTGATTTTTAAAGCATTTTTTATTATTAAACTTATTGATATATAAGGAGATAAAATAAAGATGGTCACCACCCCTTTTTCTGGTAGGAAATACCGGGAGGGTTTCTGTTGATTTTCCTTTAACTTGGAACATCACAAGTGCTGCCTGATGGTTTGCTGAACAGTAGCCATCCCCAAATCTCCTTCTGTATCTCAGAGCTCAGTCAGTTCCATTTTACTACACACTGCCTGAAAGGAAAAGCAAAGCCAAGGCAGAAGGGTGCTGGAAGCATCTGTATGTTTAATTTTACTATGAAGCTTATGTTTTAGCCAGAGATAGGTATGTCCCATTCCAAATTTTAGGAACAGAAAAATAATTTTAGTAGAGACAGTAAGATGTGGGAGACTTGCAGTTGACAAAGCTGAGTTTAAACTTCACTTTTCCCATAATAAGTGCCATGAATGAGCCAGGTCCCTTTGTTGTAAGTTTTAGCCATTTAACTGCCACATGAATCTAATGAAATTGTCAGGTTATAGTAATTACGTCAGTAATCTGATACGTTGTCACTTGAGTGGACCATGTGTGCAGAGTCGGTTACTTCTCTCTGTGGGGCTGACCCTTTTTCATTCCTGAAGACTAATAGCACTCATTAAGCTTTATGGGAAAGAACTTTTATCACTTGTCAAGCCAGGCAGCGTATTTCTATTATATTTCTAATTTTGTGTGGTTCTGTGTAGCTGCTGATGTATACTTCCCTGCTAGGTTTAGTGGTACTTCTGCCTAAGAGACATTTTTATTGACATTTCTAAGTCTGAGTTACATTTTGTGTGGCACCACTTACAGATGTCTTCAATTAAATGCAGGTAAATAAACGGGATTATGTATCAGAGGTCAAAAGATTCCTGACATTCTCTTTAGAGTCAGACTTTGCCAGCCAGTCCAGTAGGCTGTGAGAACAGAAGCTTGGAGAACATGTTTGCAGAACAGAGGCAGCTGCAGCACAAATTAATAGATATCAGATCATGTGTCAGTGTGGGGACTTGGGCTTCTCTTTAGGTGTGTTCTTCATTTTAGATTAAGTCCTCTGTCTTAGGGGTTATAATAATTACCTACTGAGAAGCTAGCATCTCTAATATCCAGGGTTGTGCTTATCCTACTTCCTGTATTAATTGTCACAGAATATCTACCTCTTACAATGAAAACTGAGCCCAGAGAGATAGATCCGACTTGTTAGGTGCTGAGAACCACAGCCAACAGTATGGGACAAGAAAAGTAAGGTAGGAAGGATGAGATAGAATGGCACTGCTGTGAGATGCTCACATTTAAGAATCTTACTTGAAGGAAGCTGGCAATCAGAGGTGGATTTAGTGAAGTTCAGAACAGGATTTATGAACCTTTGCATTGTGGGCATTTTATGAGGATTGGTGCTAACCTTGTTTGGAAGCTCAGCTGCATCTCTAGCCTCTGCCCACTAGATGCCAGTAGCACCCTCTTCACCACCATGGAAAAACAGAGCCATGGATGAGACTTTGCCAAATGTCCCTAAGACATTTGTTGCTCTTGAAAACCATTATGGGATGTGTATAGGGAGAGAGAGAGTTAATGAGCCAGTGGTGGAGATAAGATATAGTGGTAAAATGTTTTCAATTCAGTAAAAGATAAGAAAAGGTAAGAAAAGTGAAACAAAAAGGTAAACAGGACAAATACAAAATACTATAAGGCCAATGGCAAGATGGGTTTCTTAAATCTTATTAATTATTGCATTAAATATAAAAGTCTAAATCAAACTTGCCTGCATGGGAATTTTTATCTTTGTATTGTTCCAAACTGTCCAGTGACTATACCTGGCTATGGTATTACATTTGAATTGTTCAGATTTTTGTTTTTGTTAAATACCAATAGCCACCCTTGGCCAGTGGTTATACTGTTGTATACTGTAAGGCCACATATTTCTGTTAAAAGTTAGAAATTGTCAGACTAGGTAAAAGAATACAAGCAAACTTTACCCTTTATACAAAAATGTGGTTGACTTAGAGGTAAAAGACTGCAGTAAGATGTTCCCATGAATATTTACTGTAAACACATTTGATAGACTGTCTTTAAATCAGACAAAA